GTATTCAGCATGTGAAATGAAAAATTTATGAGGTTATAAAATCATCATTACAGTGTGATAAATATTCCATATAAAAAAATCTTCTATACACATAATAAAGAATAAGCAATCAAATCTTTATATGCATATTGACATACATGTATTTTATTTCCTTCAGTATACACATGTATACATTTAATAATTCTACAAATTCAGTCAGGGGGAGCCGACTTTTTCCCTAAGCGGGGGACACGAATTCTCTGAATTAGCTTGTTTTATTAGTATTTATAGTATTACATGTCGCTATTTTTAGCGCAGGGGCATGAGGAGAGTTATTGCGTATAAAACAGGTTCTCGGCGGACTTTATGTTCTTATTACATCTATTAGAACTGTTTAATAAACGCTAAATAAATCAAACACCATGGATTGTGTAAAATTTTGAGAATACCGAACATGAAAACATGAATATATACATGTATGTGACTTCAATTCTGCATATACTTCACACCGAGTAAAGCGCGTCCGTGGTCTAGTGGTTATGTCTCTCGCTTCAAATATGAGAGGTCCCGGGATCGAATCTCGGTCGATCCTTTCTTTTTTTTTTTTTTTTTTTTTTTTTTTTTTAAATACTTTTTTTTTTTTTACTAAATGATAGTATTCAGCATGTGAAATGAAAAATTTATGAGGTTATAAAATCATCATTTCAGTGTGATAAACATTCCATATAAAAAAATCTTCTATACACATAATAAAGAATAAGCAATCAAATCTTTATATGCATATTGACATACATGTATTTTATTTCCTTCAGTATACATGTATACATTTAATAATTCTACAAATTCAGTCAGGGGAGCCGACTTTTTCCCTAAGCGGGGGACACGAATTCTCTGAATTAGCTTGTTTCCTTCAGTATACATGTATACATTTAATAATTCTACAAATTCAGTCAGGGGGAGCCGACTTTTTCCCTAAGCGGGGGACACGAATTCTCTGAATTAGCTTGTTGTCCCCCGCTTGAAAAGTGGGGGATATTAATTTGGGTTTGTCCGTCCGTCCGTCCGTCCGTCCGTCTGTCCGTCCGTCCGTCCGTCTTTCTGTCTGTCTGTAACGCTTTCGTTTCCACACGATATCTCGAGAACCCTTTGAGCTTTTACTATGAAATTTAGCATAGCAACTCTCTATGGACGAAAGAAGACCCCTATTGATTTTGAGGTCAAAAGGTCAAAGGTCAAGGTCATAAATAAGCAAATTCTGTCTGTTATAACACTTTCGTTTCCACACGATATCTCTAGCACCATTTGAGCTATCGCAATAAAATTTTACATAACAACTCCCCGTAGCCTAATGAAGACCCCTATTGATTTTGAGGTCAAAAGGTCAAAGTTCAAGGTCGTAAATTTACACATTCTCTCTGTGGGTAACACTATCATTTCCGGGCGATATTTCAAGAAGATTTTGAGCTTATGCAATATAATTTTATACCAAAACTCCCTAGGACCTATCTCACCCCTCTCAAAGTGCCCCGCCCCGTTTGTTTTATTAGTATTTATTAGTATCTATTTTTAGCACTGGGGCATGAGGAGAGTTATTGCGTATAAAACAGGTTCTCGGCGGACTTTATGTTCTTATTACATCTATTAGAACTGTTTAATAAAGGCTAAATAAATCAAACACCATAGATTGTGTAAAATTTTGACAATACCGAACATGAATATATACATGTATGTGACTTCAGTTCTGCATATACTTGCCTCCATGTAAAGCGACTCCGTGGTCCAGTGGTATGTCACTCGCTTTACATGTGAGAGGTCTCGGGATCGATTCTCGGTCGGTCCTTTCTTTTTTTTCTTTTTTTTAAAAAATACATTTCTTTTTTTTTACTAAATGATAGTATTCAGCGTGTGAAATGAAAAATTTATGAGGTTATAAAATCATCATTACAGTGTGATAAATATTCCATATAAAAAGAATCTTCTATACACATAATAAAGAATAAGCAATCAAATCTTTATATGCATATTGACATACATGTATTTTATTTGCTTCAGTATACATGTATACATTTAATAATTCTACAAATTCAGTCAGGGGGAGCCGACTTTTTCCCTAAGCGGGGGACACGAATTCTCTGAATTAGCTTGTTTCCTTCAGTATACATGTATACATTTAATAATTCTACAAATTCAGTCAGGGGGAGCCGACTTTTTCCCTAAGCGGGGGACACGAATTCTCTGAATTAGCTTGTTGTCCCCCGCTTGAAAAGTGGGGGATATTAATTTGGGTTTGTCCGTCCGTCCGTCCGTCCGTCCGTCTGTCCGTCCGTCCGTCCGTCTTTCTGTCTGTCTGTAACGCTTTCGTTTCCACACGATATCTCGAGAACCCTTTGAGCTTTTACTATGAAATTTAGCATAGCAACTCTCTATGGACGAAAGAAGACCCCTATTGATTTTGAGGTCAAAAGGTCAAAGGTCAAGGTCATAAATAAGCAAATTCTGTCTGTTATAACACTTTCGTTTCCACACGATATCTCTAGCACCATTTGAGCTATCGCAATAAAATTTTACATAACAACTCCCCGTAGCCTAATGAAGACCCCTATTGATTTTGAGGTCAAAAGGTCAAAGTTCAAGGTCGTAAATTTACACATTCTCTCTGTGGGTAACACTATCATTTCCGGGCGATATTTCAAGAAGATTTTGAGCTTATGCAATATAATTTTATACCAAAACTCCCTAGGACCTATCTCACCCCTCTCAAAGTGCCCCGCCCCGTTTGTTTTATTAGTATTTATTAGTATCTATTTTTAGCACTGGGGCATGAGGAGAGTTATTGCGTATAAAACAGGTTCTCGGCGGACTTTATGTTCTTATTACGTCTATTAGAACTGTTTAATAAAGGCTAAATAAATCAAACACCATAGATTGTGTAAAATTTTGACAATACCGAACATGAATATATACATGTATGTGACTTCAGTTCTGCATATACTTGCCTCTCCATGTAAAGCGACTCCGTGGTCCAGTGGTATGTCACTCGCTTTACATGTGAGAGGTCTCGGGATCGATTCTCGGTCGGTCCTTTCTTTTTTTTCTTTTTTTTAAAAAATACATTTCTTTTTTTTTACTAAATGATAGTATTCAGCGTGTGAAATGAAAAATTTATGAGGTTATAAAATCATCATTACAGTGTGATAAATATTCCATATAAAAAGAATCTTCTATACACATAATAAAGAATAAGCAATCAAATCTTTATATGCATATTGACATACATGTATTTTATTTGCTTCAGTATACATGTATACTTTTAATAATTCTACAAATTCAGTCGGGGGATCCGACTTTTTCCCTAAGCGGGGGACACGAATTCTCTGAATTAGCTTGTTTCACATTAAAATGCGTTATCAATACATTATGTATTCCTAACTTATGAGCTCTACTCAAACCAAGTGACATGTTATTGTCCCCCGCTTGAAAAGTGGGGGATATTAATTTGAGTTTGTCCGTCCGTCTGTCCGTCTAGCCGTCCGTCCGTCCGTCCGTCTTTCTGTCTGTCTGTAACGCTTTCGTTTCCACACGATATCTCGAGAACCCTTTGAGCTTTTGCAATGAAATTTAGCATAGCAACTCCCTATGCACTAAAGAAGACCCCTATTGATTTTGAGGTCAAAAGGTCAAAGGTCAAGGTCATAAATAAGCAAATTCTGTCTGTTAAAACACTTTCGTTTCCACACGATATCTCTGGAACCATTTGAGCTATTGCAATGAAATTTTACATAACAACTCCCTGTGGTCTAATGAAGACCCCTATTGATTTTGAGGTCAACAGGTCAAAGTTCAAGGTCGTAAATTTATACATTCTGTCTGTGTGTAACACTATCATTTCCGGGCGATATTTCAAGAAGATTTTGAGCTTATGCAATGTAATTTTATACCAAAACTCCCTAGGACGTCTCTCGCCCCTCTCAAAGTGCCCCGCCCCGTTTGTTTTATTAGTATTTATAGTATTACTTGTTGCTATTTTTAGCGCAGGGGCACGAGGAGAGTCATTGCGTATAAAACAGGTTCTCAGCGGACTTTATCTTCTTATTACATCTATTAGAACTGTTTAATAAAGGCTAAATAAATCAAACACCATGGATTGTGTAAAATTTTGAGAATACCGAACATGAAAACATAAATATATACATGTATGTGACTTCAGTTCTGCATATACTTCACGTCTTGTAAAGCGACACCGTGGTGTAGTGGTTATGTTATCTTTGTCCTGAATGTTTTTAAACAAATGAAATGTAAATAATGATGATTATCAATAAAAGATAAAAAAAAAAAAAAATGTTTCTCGCTTCAAATGTGAGAGGTCCCGGGATCGATTCTCGGTCGATCCTTTCTTCTTCTTTTTTTTTAAATACCTTTTTTTTTACTAAATAGTATTCAGCATGTGAAATGAAAAATTTATGAGGTTATAAAATCATCATTACAGTGTGATAAATATTCCATATTAAAAAATCTTCTATACACTTAATAAAGAATAAGCAATCAAATCTTTATATGCATATTGACATAGGCATGTATTTTATTTGCTTCAGTATACATGTATACATTTAATAATTCTACAAATTCAGTCAGGGGGAGCCGACTTTTTCCCTAAGCGGGGGACACGAATTCTCTGAATTAGCTTGTTATAAATTATCTATAGGATTTCCTTTAGAATTATAAACATCTAGCTGATTCTAGCATATAACACCCACTAACTTTCGAGGGATAACTTCTTTAAAATTTGAATATATTTTGTCCATATACTTTACAATTGGGATTGGGAAATAGTTCTAAAAACTTAAAATACATGTACACCCTTTCCCTACATATGCATTATACCAAGCTTCTTAACTACAGATAAATGTACAAGCCAAACAAACATTTAATAGCCCTGAATATTATAACTACATAGATACCAAGAAATCAGGTGTACCTCATAGATAAAGTTACACAATTTTAAGAATGATTTTAATTTCAAAACATTTTTAAACAGAAAAAAAATGGACATGCAAATTCCATTGAAAACACTTAGTTTGGCCTTATTTTTGTTCTGTTTTTCAGTAGAGGCTTTTCTACTTCAGGATCACCCAACACATCGGAACGCGTCAGAGGAACAGAAAGTTCTTCAAATCTTAACAAGATTACTTCCTTCTCTGACAACCCATCCAGGTAAGATACCGGTACTCCGGTACTCTCAATTTATGTGGTCTTATTTTCATTTCAGAAGTAGCGGTATTTATCTTACGCTTTCATAAAGCTGCTTAAATTGCAGAAATACTTATTTTCAATGAATTGGTCCCTCACATGCGACCGTACTTGTATACCAATGTCCTGTGTCCCAGTAATTACTGCCACGAGAAAGACCCCTGCTAAAAGACCCTAAATGCTGTGTATTTGTCTTAAATTTGCAGCAATCAAAACTTAAGACATTCAATGTATAATGAACTGATTTTGGACGATTTCAAATAATTTTAAACTAGTTAAAACACATTGCTAGATAACGAAAAAAGTGAAATGAACAAAATTCACAAGACTGATAATATGTACGGAGAGGGTAATTTTGCACATTAAAAGTGTTTGAAGTTATCTGTCCTTGATGAAAAGAAAATTTTTGATTTCTCAAAATTTCTCCGGTAAATAATTCCTTATATTTCATAGTTTACAGATATATTTTCACCAAGTGATTTGTTTGAAATTCAAATTACTTTTTCCAATATCTTATAAAAACATGCACCGCCCAAAGACTTTAATGTAAAATTCAAGGTGAAACAATTTGGACAATAATCAAAATTTTGTAAATTCCTTTGGTGGAGCATTTTTATTGGATAACATCTTCAACATGCTACCATGATTAAAAATATTGGGGCATTCATTTAATAGGTACAAAATATGGTCGTTATAAATACATCGAATCAAATGGTGGCGTCTCAAGAAGAGAGGAAATTCCTCGAAAGGAACTTTATAAAAAAGAAAAACAACAACAACAATAAAGCATATTCCGATCATTGTTTTAATTGATTGTAAATATCTTCCAATTAAAGTATACTTTTTTTATTGGCGATGGGGGATGTGTGACTTTTTAAATTCTTTTGAAAAAAATATTACATTTTCAAAGGGTTCCCTCGTAAACACCAAATGAAAAAGGCAAGGTGTAGTTAAAGTGTGTCTGAAATATAAGCTCGTCAGATGAAATTGATTGTGCAGTATAAACAATCAACATAATTCCATATTGATGTCAAAGGTGGTCCAATTTGTCAAATTATACGATTTAAAAAATCATTTCCAAAACATATATCTGGATATATTTACATTTCCAATGTCTTTGTCCGAGATAAAATTACCAATTGTAAATGTAATTTATTTCCTCATGAATGTCTTGGCGCGGTTCCAAAAAAAACCACGTGCAGGGCGGGACGACACCTAGAGAGAAGCAGGCTTGGAGCCCGTGGATTGGCGGAATCAAAGCATGTAAATATAAGGAATAACTGTCTTATTTTTCGAATTCATGAAGATGATCAATGGATTGGCTTGTGTGATAATTTTATTCATAAACGCCTTCGGCGTTTATGCACATTATCACACAAGCCAATCCATTGATCACTTCATGAATTCGAAAAATAAGACAGTTATTCCTTAAATAAAAGAGGGTGTGTGTATGTTTTATCAAAGTTAATGATAAAAACACTTTGGGCAACCGGGGATTTGCTTACATGATCGTGGAATTTTCAATTCATTTTCAGAAGTTGTTATGAACGAAATATGCAAGACTTATCCTTCGCTCATCATTCCACATCCGGGCGAGTGTCAGTTGTATTATAATTGTTCTAAAACGTACTCACATGTCCCTAATAATATGGAACAACATATGATGGAATGCACATACCCAGATCTCTTCTCGGAGAGGACGCGTCGTTGTGAAAATTTCACCGAAGTCTGCTGTGGTGCAAGAAAGGAGTATAAAGACAAATGTAAGATGTACATGTAATCTTACAGTGAGATTATTTTAAAAAATTGTAAGATAAAATTACATGTACTTATTTGCAATTTAAAAATGATATGAAATAGTATGTATTATTTATTGAGTGAATGTGATTATATATGCCTAGTATTGCAGAATGAAGAAAATTATAAATATCTGAAAAAAATAATTATAATTTATTTATTGCAAAGGTTCCTATCGAATGGAAAATGCTACTGGGTATTGCTATTCTCAATCATGTGTTGGGGACCCAGATGGTATGGTTGGCACAAGCTGGAATTCGTACAAGATGTGTCTCCAAGAGCGTATTGTTGGTTTTGGATCATGTGATGAAGGGCATTCTTGGGATGCTAAAGAAGTGCCTTATAAGGGAAAGTGTACAGATCGTTTTGAGGTACCTACATCAGTCACCGGAGGTCTTTTACAGTCTTGCAACCAAAAAGCTGATGGTGTTTATCGCTTTAATCATAACAGTGCAATGATGAATTTCGGCGATTATTTTGGAATAGGCCGTGCTTGTGATGCCTACTATCGATGTGACAGTGGCAATGTAACTGTTGTCAGGTGCCCTAATGGGACCGTGTTCCATGCTGATGTTGGTAGATGTAAATCTGGTAATTCTTCTCTACCGCTAACTTGTCAATTGTATTGTAATCCATCTACAAGTAAGTTCTTTGGAGCCTTCCCAGCAAGGGTCGCTGAATGTCCCCATCCATTGCAATTTTCCGAGAAGACTAATCAATGTGAGAATTTTACTGAAGTTAACTGTGGATCACGAAAAGAAATTAAATATTACTGTAAGTAATATATATTTAACATAAAAACTTGTAACAGATCTTGAAGGGTCATCAATAATTCACATAGATTACCGTAACACGAGGCCTAAGCTAGGCCTTGAATTTCTCTTTTTTTAAATGGACAAATAACACTAGGGACATGGACACAGTTTCAACTGAATCTTTAAAACCAATTTTAATGTTAACAATTCCTAACTTATGCACCATATAAAGATCGGCAAAAACTTGAACATCATTTGTTGAATAAAAAACGAGATGCAGAACTTAAAGTTCTTCATAATGTAAACAAGGTTCATGCCCAGTTTTTGTTTACATATAGACCTATAGATAATATCATATCTATAATAAAATGAAATTCAGCAAATCACTAGAAACCGTCTAATCGCATTTAGAATTAACTTCTTTATTGAAATTATCAGCTTTGATTGAACGTATATTAGTATTTTAATCTATGTAAACAAAACATGACATGGACCTTGTTTGCATCTCAACAACTGAAGTTCAGATTGTTGATGATCATTAGTAAGACCCTGGTTAAAAATTTTTAAAAATGAAAACATAAATTGAAAAATAATTTTTCAGCTGAAACAGTGCCCATGTCCCTTTAGAGACTCTAGGTACCCTGTATATACATGTATTAAGATAATGCCTTAAACTTCTACAAGTAGGTCATCATGACCTACAATTTTATTTAAACACACAGAAAATCCGAGATACATCAACTATCAAAATTTGAAGATTCTAAGCCCCTTACTATCTTAAACGTGAGATTCCTAAAATAGGTCACTGTGATCTACTTTTTTGGAAAAGATAATCGAAGACCTTAAAATGTATTGTGACAAAGTTTGATGATTTTGAATTTCTTATATAAAAAATTTAGAAATTCCCTTCAAATTCCAAATGTATGTCACTGTGCTCTAAATGTTGTTAACATTTTCTGAGGATTCAAAATAAATCAACTGACTAAGTCTGAAGATTCAAAGCAAGTTAGTACCTCAAATATATATGAATAAATAGATTTTTAAAATTTCAAAACAAGGTCAAAGAGACCTACTTTTCAATTGACACACACTGAAACACAAAATTTAATGGTTCTTGAGTAATTCTCAAAATATAAAAAAAATATCATTGTGAAATTGCAAAATTATGACATACTTTTTAGTTGACGCAATCTGAGGACCCAAGATGCATCAACTGACAGTTTGTTAATTCCAAGCTAATTAGTCCCAGAAATATTAAAATATAGCCATATAATTTCAAAAATAGGTCATGGTGAACAAATTTTTAATTAACATTCTCTGACGACCCAAGATGTATCAACTATCAAAGCTAAATGACTCTACTTACCATTTAAGGACATACGCAACGTACCTTACCTACTGATAATTTTTCAAGATATTCTTAATTTAAGATTATAGTGTCATCAGATGTTCATAGACAAAAAATCAGCATGCATTACCAGGGGTTTTTGAAAGATAAGAATTGATGAAAATTTTTGGATGAATCAAAGAAAAATATATAAAAAATACTAAACATATATTCTAGATGTTTCTTTTATCCGAAATTGTTTTTGAATAAGTGTGCAATACCATACATAGATATTAAAATATAACACACAGTTCCTTCAAGAGTTAGAACTCTTCAGCTCCATGGAAAAAGACAGAAAAGTTCAAACTACGTTGCGTATGACCTTAAATGCAACAAAACTCGGTTATAACGAAGTAACTGGGACCTATGAAATTACTTCGCTATATCCGTAATTCGTTATAACCGCCGTGTATATCCCAACATGCGGGGTGTATACTATGTTGTGCGCGGGGTGTATGCTTCCGAAGCGAGAGAAAGGGGGATGAATTGTTCTGCCCTTGTCATGGTGGGCAGTGTTTTTAACGAGCAGAGCCGATAGATGTAGAATATTGCGAAAACGAGTGTGGACAGATGGAAGTTATCGGTTGTAAGTTACAGTAGTTATCATATGTAACTATATATAACTTTATCGAATGGAATGTGGTGATATTGGACTGACATTTTGCAGTAAATGCAGTTTTTGTTTATGAGATGAACTCACCATTGAACAGTTGAACAGTTGAAAAAAAAACTGAATACTTATAATATCGCCACTATTTTTGCTTTTTGCCATATCATTAGCCATAACATTAGCTTTGCAATCATATCAAATCATACCATAATGAGTAACAAAGACTCGACAAACTCGACAAACAAAAGGTGTATTAGTGAACTTTCGCTAGACATGTCAAGATCATTCAGTGATGTGATCCAATCAACAAAAAAGTCTCGGGATGGCTCATTATCTGACCAGTTTCATGAACAGGAGCCTATTCCCACTCAAACATCTACCCCTGAAAATATCAAATGTGCTACACATGCGACAGATGATCCAAGTGAGCAAAATCATGTTCCTCATTATCCTACCCCTCAACTTGTTGTATCAGGGCCCATCACAATCTGTAGTGAAGATATACAAAAGATTGCAGAAAATGTTAAAGCCTTACTCAGTACCGACCTAGCATCACTCACATCTGAAATACAAAACATCGTTAAAAGCGAAGTACTGAAAGCAACTGAACCCCTACAAGAAAAAATCAAAAATCTAGAAAAACAAAACAAAGATCTGTTTCTTAAAATTGATGAATTAGAACAATATGGTCGTAGACCCTTGGTTCGAGTCTCTGGCATTCCTGAAACAATGAACGAAAATACATCAGACAAAATCATGGGTGCCGTTACAGCCGCTGGTATTCCTCTCCAGCGGGAGGATATTATTGTTTCTCATCGTGTTGGAAAACGTGATGCAAACCGAACACGCCCTAGACAGATAATCGCTAGACTAAGGTCTGTGGATCTCAAATTCCATCTCGTTAAAAATTCAAGAAAGTTTGCAGAAATTGAGGAGACTGCTGGTATTACCATAAACGAGGATCTGACGAAATATCGTGACAAGATCATGTTCTTGGGCAGACAACTTTGTCGAAACAGAAGAATAAAATCAGTGTCTTCCTCTAATGGAAAAATCAAAATATATGATCGGGACAATGAATCCCACTTCATTCGAGAAGAGGCAGATCTAGTACCCTTTGGACATGTAATGGCAATTGAGTAAAATGTTACAAAAAGCAAACAAACAAAATAGTAAACTCAAATGCGTTTAAATATAAATCGTATAATATAAACCTTCCTACCACACCAGTTTGTTTTTCTTTTTAGAACTCAATCAAGATGAACTGCATCAGTTTATGTCTTATGTTTTGTGCAGTTCAACTAACTTGTGCATTTCACGATTTAGAGGTCAAATCAACCTCAAATTTCTGTGATGTTACATTAACTTGTATAACCTATTGTGTGTACAACACAGTGTTTGTATATATTTTCTACACACAATATTCTTGTTTTCTGTTTCTTTGGTTTGTTATTATTTTCAATGTATGTTTCTTTGTTCACTTTTTTGTTGTATTATTTTTTTGTGTTACATTTTATAATTCTTACAATTTCAATTGTCATGCTTTGCGTATTCTGCTGAATCTCTCAAACTCTGTACTTTTTGTCCCATTCTTCTGTATGTCACTATTATTTAAAAACACCATTGCAGCACCTTTTTTGTTTCCTACTGTACACTTTCACCAAATTTTAGACAATGGGTGACTCTGTTGAACAATACCGTGCTGCAATCGGTCTTTTTTATTTATCCTGTAGAGGTGTATGCAAGTCTTACTCATTCCATATCTCGGTTTGTGAATTCCTTTGCGCGTTCTTTACAGTACGATCAAAACATTATTAAGATGTACGACACGGTATAAGAAAAACTTAGTGTATATTAACTTTTACTTGCAGTTGTTTACGTTTATTTTATTAGCCTGTGGTGATATTGAGGTCAATCCAGGACCCACTATCGAAAGTGTCCTTGACATTTTGCACCTAAATATTCGCAGTATAAGAAACAAACTAGGTTATTTGAACTCATTCGTCCATGACTTCGATATATTGTGTTTTACTGAGATCCATCTTGACCATACCATATCGAATGATAATCTATTATTAGATGGCTTTAGTAATATAATACGAAAAGATAGAAATTGTTTTGGGGGAGGTATTATGATATATTTATCAAATCAAATACATGTAACAAGACGCCAAGACTATGAACCAGCTAATTTAGAGTGTATTTGGTTAGAAATCGAAAATCGTACCTGTAAATACTATCTCTGCTGTATTTATCGACCTCCAAACGCTGACGCCAGTTTCTGGACTAAACTTTCATGGAGTTTAGATAAAGTAGGAGAATCCTCGAGTAAAATCATAATTGTTGGTGATATAAATGTAGATTTGTTAAATACTCCTCCTACACACATAATACGTGAAATAGTTTCAAATTCCAATCTTGTCAACAACATCCACGTACCGACGAGAATTACTAACAATACACGCACGCTTCTTGACCCAGTTTTCACTTCACTTGATATTCAGGTACATGATTCGGGTGTCCTTGAAATTGACCCAGCTTTTAGTGATCACAAAGCAACTTATATTGCACTAGCCTCGAATATAAATTACAATCGCGCTTACAAAAGAAAGGTATGGGATTATAAAAATGGTGACTTTGACAAATTAAATTCCTTAATACAAAATTGTGATTGGGATAAATACATCAATCATGCCGACAATATAGACGCGGCTACCGACAATTTTTCAAATAAATTTCTCTCTTGTGTTAGACAATCTTTCTGTGAAAAAACAATTACTATTCGTCCACGAGATAAACCTTGGATGGACTCCATTCTGCGTAAAACTCTAAGACTTAGAAATAGATTACGAAACAAAGCGTTACGAACGAAGAAAGATTCGGATTGGCTTGAATTTAAAAAAGTTCGGAACACGTTCAATAACATGAAAAAATATGCTATAGCTAATTACTATGATAATATAGAAATGCACCTAGTAGACGCAAACAAAAACAATAACAAATTATATTGGAAACTAATGAAGGAC